AGGAGGTCTGTCCTCCGGATGGGGCTCTCCAGGAAGGAAGGGATTATTCATGGGATTTCAAAGGGATTATTCATGGGATTTCAAGGGATTATTCATGGGATTTTGTGCCTCCAATGCAAAAACCTCTCTGCTTTTGCTCCCCCAGTATGAGAACCAGACCAAGCTGGCGCTGGTGGGGAACTGGGGCACGACCGGCCTGACCTACCCCAAGTACTCAGATGTCACCGGCAAGATCAAACTGCCCAAGGACAGCTTCCGCCCCTCCACGGGCTGGACCTGGGCCGGGGACTGGTTCATCTGCCCGGAGAAGACGTGAGTGATGGTTTTCTGCAAAGAGCAGAGCCTGGATGGGCTGTCGCGGGCACCCCAAAAACCTGAGCAGAGGCTAAGCTGGTGGCAAGGTGACCCAGAAAGCTGGTTGGAGATCTGGGGTGCCATGGGGGGTTCCTTGTCTGCCTGCCCCGTCCTTGGTAGGCGACAACGTTAATGCAAAATGCGTCGTCTCTGCGCTGGGTGATGTCCCTGGGGCGGTGGGTGCTGCACAGGCACTCACGGACATGATGGCCCCGGCACCCAGCTCACCGGGGTGCCCGTGCAAGCCCCACACTGAGGAGCTTTGGAGGTGGGATCCCAAGGGGGGGGAAAGAGGGGATGGGAGGGGATGGTGGATGCTCAGCACAGCTCTGCCATCTTCTTGCATTGGATTTACAGCCTGTATTTTGGGCTTCACCTGAGCCGGGTTGCTGAGGTCTCGTGGGAGCTTTGCTTGGTGCATCTGGGGTGGAAGAGGCTCAGGAGGCAAAGCGTGTGCTGGGGTGGCGTGGCCGGCCATGAGAGGAGGAAAGACGCGAGGCCGTGCTGCTGCCCGTGCAGGGCTGGGAGGGCAGGAGGGGGAGCCCCTGACGCCATGCATCTCCCCGGGGTGCAGGTTGCTGTACGACGTGGACGCCGGGCACCTGAGCTTCGTGGAGGAGGTGTTCGAGAACCAGGTCCGGCTGCCTGGAGGCCAGTGGATCCACATGACTGACGCCTACACCGATGTGGTAAGGACAAAGCGGGCAGCCTGGCGCCGAGCCGCCGCCCCAGGCTGCAGTGGCAGAAAGCCCCGGGGGGGGCTCAGGGGAGATTTAGGCATCTGCTGGGTGCCGTTTGGTTGAAAACACCCCTGCATCCCACAGAATGGGTTGAAGGTCCTGCATAAGGATGAGATTGAGTGCCCTCCGGGCTGGAAATGGGAAGACGTGGAGTGGGACACCGATCTCAACAGAGCCGTGGATGAGAAAGGTATCACAAAGCAGTTTTGGGCATCCATGCCATTTTCATCCCCTTTACTCTGCCCATCGTGGTGTTTCCTTCCACAGGCCCATCCAGCACTAGGGATGAGAACATCCCCTTCATGGCTGTGTGAGCTGCCCCACTGGCTTCAGGAGGAGGGGATGAGGCCCTGGGGGTACCCTCTCCCCCCTTGCTCTGGCTGAGGCTGGGGCTGTGGGGTGGGCAGCTGTAAAGGCAGGGCTTTCCTTCCTGCTGGGGGTAGTCCAGGCTGTTCTTCTCGAAGATCTTACCTGGCTTCTGGTGAAAGAGAAATGGAAAGCATCAGGCCAGAGAGCATCCGAGATGGTCACAAAGGTTGGGGTTGCCTGAGGAAGGAAGGACAGAGAGGAGAGTCCCCAAGCAGTGACTTTGAGCCAAGGGCTGGTGGGACACCATGAATCCATCACCTGGGCATCCCCAGAGGGACACCTCCATTGGGTAGCAGCATGAGTAGGTCGTTATCTGCGTGGACCAGCAAACTGGGAAAGTGTGTTGTATCTGGACAAACCTTTGCTATTAAAGCTGTTCCAGTCTGGATACACGTGAAGAGAGGTCCCTGGTGGGAGGCAAGGGCGGGGGCTCTTCTCCCGCCTTCACCCAGGTGTCCCCTTCTCTCCAAGGCTGGGAGTACGGCATCACCATCCCGCCGGACCGCAAGCCCAAGGCCTGGGTGCCGGCCGAGAAGATGTACCACACCAACCGGCGGCGGCGCTGGGTGCGGCTCCGCCGGAGGGACATCACGCAGATGGAGGCCATGAGGAAGGTAGGACGGGGGCCGGGGAGAAGAGGGTGAGAGCGGCTTGGGGCCGTGTCCCTCTCTCTCCATGCGGAGGTGGAGGTGCTTGGCCTTCTGCAGAGTCCTGCTGTGCTTTGGAGCCTGGTGGCCCTGGTCTCCGTGCTGGAGCAGCAGCAGCCGCCTCTGTGGTTTCCACCAGGGGAGTCAACACCTCCCAGGGGTGCTTGGTTGGGCTGCGGGGTGGGACAGGGACCTCCACCAGTGCCACGAAGCAGCTCAGGGGGGCCGGGGCTGGCAGAGGTCCCTCGCCTGTCCCCTGTCCCAGTCCTGCTTCCCTCTAGGTGGTGCAATTGGACTGCAAATGCCACCACAGCGCTGCCGCTCATCCCTCCCCCCCAGCAAGTTCCCCAGGACACTTTCCTCCCTTTCCAGCACTTTTTCTAGATAATTGTGGATGAAAAGCATGGGGAACCCCTGCCACCCCATTTGCCAAAGGGATGCAAGTGTCCCTGGGAGGTGACACAACCCTGGGGAGAAAAAGCCTTCATGGGCTTGTGACTGATGCCCTGGTCAGGATGTCCCATGGTGGCAGAGCCGTGGTGGCCCCAGGAGGGATCAGGGGTGGTGGCAAAGTGGAGGGCAGGCTGGGAAGACGGAGGCGCTGGTGCTACCCAGGCCTGGGCAGGATGCAGCCCCCTCCTTGCTCAGCACGGGCAGCCCCCTGAGACCCTTCTCCAAGTAGGGTTCACCCCAGGGACGGGACGAAGGGCTGAATCCCCGGCTAAGCCGGAGACCTACGGGAGGACACGAGGTGGGACAACTGTAGCAGGCAACAGCTCGAAGAGGCTGGTCCCAGGTTTGGGTGGGCACAGCCCTGGGCCTGGAGAGCCCCAAAGCGGCTTTGCCCCTTGGCTGTGCTGGGGTCCCGCCATTGTCACCTGCAGAGGGGCCGTGGGGTGGTGGGACCGAGCCCCCCTGAGCCCTGGCGTGTCCCTGCCCGGTAGCACAAGCAGGAGGAGCTGGACGGGGAGGGCTGGGAGTACGCCTCGCTCTTCGGCTGGCGCTTCCACCTGAAGCATCGCCGGACCG